AGATCGCCTTCACTGTAGCGTTGATGAGAAAGGACCTAGGGAAGACATGGGCAGACACATACTACGAGAAGTCGGCAGGGGGAGTCCAGGTCTATCCCGATTGGACAGCCTTCGCCACCGCCCTTGAAGAAGCATTTCCTGAGCACGGAACGCGAATCAAGGCGCACCAAATCCTGATGAAGCTGCCCGAACGACAGAAGAACAAGAAGACGGCGCTCTCCCTCGGAAACTACGTCACCCGCTTTGAGCAGCTAGCATCGAAAGCCCAGCTCAAGGACGCCGAAGTCAATGGCGTCAACCGCACCGAGAACGACTACCACACTCTCCACGCCAACTTCGTCAAAGGACTTCCGAAGGAGCTCTACGTCTCTCTCGCAACTAGGGTCGCTAGAGACCGACCCAACACCATGAAAGCCTGGTACGACGAAGTCCGAAATGCCGACGCAGCCGAACAAGGGGCCCTCACCGTCACAGACACCAGAGACTACGGCGAGCCAATGGATATCGACGCCGCTGCAGTCGCGGCAACCTTTGCCTCCACGTTGGGAGGAAGGAAGTGGGAACTAGGGGCAGTTCTCAACAAGGCCGACCGGAAGCTCCACAGGGATGGGAACCTGTGCTTCTACTGCCACATCAAGGGCCACAGCGCCAAGGATTGCCGCAAGAAAGCGGCCGCACGACAAGGGGGTGGGAGGCTGAACCAGGGAGGATCCGGGAAGGACGACTTCCGCGCCAGAATCAAGACACTCTCCGCTGACGAAAAGCGGGAGCTGTACGAAGAACTCACAATGGAGGATTTTTGAAGGGGCAGGGTGAGCCGACGCAACCACTGCCCGTATCCGTTTCACTGTCCCGTGTAATTTTAGTAGTCCAAAATGAACGCGCTCTGCACATTCCGATTACTGTGGGACGAAAAGACGTCGAGGCGCGCGCTTTCATCGATAGTGGCGCAACAGGAATCTTCATCAGCCCGAGATTCGTCCGAGAGCATCGACTTCGGACAGAACCTCTCCCCCGACCCATCCCCGTCTTCAACGTGGATGGAACTCCGAACAAAGAAGCACTCATCACGCGAAGAGCCCTCTTATCTTACAAGATAAGTGGAGAACCCCGATTTGTCAAAGCCTACGTCGCCAGCATCGGCAAAGAAGACATCATCTTCGGCCATACCTGGCTCAAGCTCGAAAACCCCAAGATAGACTGGAAGACCAGACGAGTTGAGCTAAACCACCGGTGGACGAAAGACGAGACAAGGGCCTGGAAGATGGACCTGTACCAAAGGCGAGTGGCTCGGCTAGAACTGAAGAAGGCCGTAACTACCCCACTCCCAGAACCAATGGAGGACGAATTCGTTGTCATCTCCACCTCGGAGCATGCAACCCTCCCCGAACGAAAGACTAGCGGTGCAGCAGGATATGACATCTCTGCCGCACATCAACTCATCATCCCTGCCCGACGACGAGGCCTGGTTGGCACCGATCTTATCATGGCTATCCCCAAAGGACACTACGGAAGAATCGCACCTCGGTCCGGTCTAGCGCTAAAGGAAATTGATGTCACTGCAGGAGTAATCGACTCCGATTACCGAGGCAAGGTCTCAGTCCTGCTGGTCAACAACTCTGACCTCCCATTCACCGTCAAAGCCGGCGACCGAGTTGCCCAGCTCATCCTCGAAAGGATAAGCACCCCACCAGTAACGCTAACCGACTGCATCGACGAAACAGAACGCGGGGAGGATGGGTTTGGATCAACGGGTATTGCGTCCATCGAGGAACAAGCGGAGGACATCGACGATGATGAGTTCATCATTTCCTACTTATCCGGAACACCGATGATCACCAAGTACGAGAAACAGGAACCTCTGGCAGTGAGGGACATTCCGCTCAAGGAGCGACTCCCTGAACTTTCATCTGGCTACAAACGACTTCACAACGGCATGATCTGGAAGATCCACCACAACATTAGGCGCGTCACCACTTCCACCGAACTTGCGGCCTCGAACGCCCAAGGCAAGACAGAAAAAACGCTACCACAGATGGTACCATCCTACCTACACGATCTCCTCCCCGTCTTCGACAAAGGCACCGCTGCGCGACTTCCAGACCACACCAAATATGACCATGAAATCAACCTCAAGGAAGGCTTCGCGGACATGAAGCAACAGGTCTATCCGCTCAACCCGCAGCAACGAAAGGAACTTGACAAGTTCCTCGAGGAGAACCTGAGTAAAGGGTACATTCGCCCCTCGAAATCCCCGTTGGCGAGTCCATTCTTCTTTGTTGGTAAAAAGGATGGTTCACTACGCCCTTGTCAAGACTACCGGCTACTCAACGAGAACACGGTCAAGGATCGATACCCGCTCCCGCTTATATCAGACCTCCTCGACAAGTTGAAGCACGCCAAGGTGTTCACGAAGATGGACCTCCGTGCCGGATACAACAACGTCCGAATCAAGAAAGGGGACGAATGGAAGGCAGCGTTCATTGTACCCGGAACTGATGGCAAACCGCCACAGCTGTACGAACCAACGGTGATGTTCTTTGGGCTGTGTAATTCTCCCGCTACGTTCCAGCGGATGATGAACACAATATTCGCAGACATGCTTCAAGAAGGCTGGCTCTGCATTTACATGGACGACATCCTGATCTTTTCCCAGGACAAGACAGAACACGAAGAACGAACATGACGTGTTATCGAACGACTTCGACAACACGACCTCTACCTCAAACCGGAGAAATGCGCCTTCGACGTCACCGAAGTCGAATTCCTCGGCATGATCATCTGTCCAGGAGAAATCGCAATGGACCCTGTCAAACTAGCTGGCATTGCGGATTGGCCGGTGCCGTCCAACCTCAGGCAAGTACGCGCCTTCGTTGGATTTGGAAACTTTTACCACCGGTTTATCAAAGGATTCTCGGACAAAGCGCAACCACTGGTTGCTCTCACCCAGAAGGACGTCGCCTGGACCTGGGGATCTGACCAGCAGAAAGCCTTCGAAACCCTCAAGAAGGCATTCCTAGAGGAACCGGTACTACGCATGCCGGATCCCGATCGACCCTTCGCTATCGAAACTGACGCCTCCAAGTTTGCAACCGGAGCAGTACTACGCCAGCGCGACGACAACGGCGACTGGCATCCTTGCGGATACCTCTCTCAAAGCTTCAATGCAGCAGAGAGAAACTACGACATCTACGACAGGGAGTTATATGCGGTCATCCGCGCACTAGATGAGTGGAAGCACTACCTCATCGGCAGCCCATACCCAGTAACGATTCTCAGCGACCACAAGAACCTCACATATTGGAAACAAGCCAAAGACATGAACCGACGACAAGCGCGCTGGGCGAGTAAACTGACCGAGTTTGACTTCCGCCTAGTACATGTTCCTGGTACCCAAATGGTGCAGAGCGACGCTCTCTCCCGCCGACCCGACCATGACGACGGCTCTAATGACAACACCGACGTCGTTATGCTCCCACCAGAAGTATGGGTTGCTGCCATCGACATCGACACCCGCGACACCATCCTTTCCTTTAAGGACGACCCAATAATGAAGGAAGGCCTCACTGCGGCGCACACTGGAGGAACACCACGCACTGGAACAGACTGGTCCCTCGATGATGACCTCCTCTTATACCAGGATCGGGTCTATGTACCCCCAGATGAGTCTCTTCGCAAACGTCTTGTCTCCCACTATCACGATCTCCCCTCTGCAGGACACCCCGGTGTTCAGAAAACCCTCCTCGGCTTGCGCCGTGACTACTGGTGGCCGAGCATGGCCCAGTTTGTTGCTCGCTATGTTAACGGCTGTGGCATCTGCCAGCAAATGAAAGTCAACACGCATCCAGCCCGTCCACCCATCACCCCCATTCGACCCCGCGCAAATGCCAAGCCCTTCAGCACATTCTCGTGCGATTACATCACCGACTTGCCACCATCCAGCGGCTTCGATTCAATTCTGGTCGTAGTGGACCACGACCTTACGAAGGGGGTAATTTTCATCCCATGTAACAAAACAATTGATGCTCTTGGGATGGCAGACGCAATGTACCGAGAGGTCTACAAGTGGTTTGGACTCCCAGACAAGATCATCAGCGACCGAGGACCGCAATTTGCGTCCAAAGTCTTCCAAGAACTTTGCAAAATGACTGGGGTTCAATTAGCCATGAGTACGGCATTCCATCCGCAAACCGACGGCGAGACAGAACGAGTAAACCAAGAGCTGGAGATCTACCTCCGCTGCTTCACTGCCAATGATCCGGATAAGTGGGCTGACCATCTTCACACTGCGCAATTTGCTCACAACTCCCGCGAGCATTCCACGACGAAGACGTCCCCATTCAAACTCATGATGGGATATGAACCTCGCGGAATACCCACCGCGCACCCCGGATCAAACACGCCGCAAGCAGCTTATCGCCTCAAGGACTTGCAAAACATCCGTGAGGAAGCACATGCGGCAATGGAGATGGCCCAGAACGTCCTGGCCAAAAGAGTAAAAAGGAAGGGGGGTTCCTTCCGTAAAGGTCAGCTGGTATGGCTCGACTCCCGGAACTTGAAGCTGCCGTACCCGTCCAGGAAACTAGCCCCGAGGCGAGAAGGGCCGTTCAAAGTCCTAGACAAGATCGGAATGGTCGCATACAAGCTAGACCTCCCTAGCACCTGGCGAGTCCACCCCGTTTTCCACGAATGGCTTCTATCTCCCTACTCAGAGACGGAGATCCATGGTCCGAACTACACGAGGCCACCCCCTGACCTTATTGAAGGCGAAGATAACTACGAAGTCGAAGCCATCATCGGACACCGAGAGAACAAGAGGATGCGACGCTGCGAATATCGCGTCAGGTGGAAGGGTTACTCAACAGCCGATGACTCATGGGAGCCCGAAGCGAACCTGACTGGGACGGCAGACAAAGTGTTGGCAGAGTATAAGAACAGGAAGGACTTGAGCTGAATCGATAGCAGCTCTACCCAGTCGCTACATCCCCATTCGCACCGACATGTCTTCCACCCTCTCGTTCCTCGACCAGTTCAACGCCCCCTCGACCGAAGGCGGGAAAAGAATCTCAATCTACACCCCTAAGCACACCCACGTCGGCGACAGCACCTTGCTGACGCTTCTCCTCAGTAATCCCACCGATGTTTTCAACAAGCTTAAAGCCCACAACCCCGAGGCAACCAATGCCACCGACCGCGCTGCACTAGAGGCATATCTCTCCGCCCGCCGCAACTATGACGAGGCTGTCAAGGCAGCCGACGAGGCCATCGACCACCACAAACGGCTCCTACGCCAACAGGACGACCGCGTCCTCACCGAGCTCATCCGGCTCGATAATCTGAAAGTTGCCCATCGCTTTCAACCGCTCCTACCGCGCAGCATCTGGGCGCGACACAACAAATTCATCCCGCGCGCCATCCCCAACGCGTACTTACCCCTACCCGCACCCCTACCGATGTCTGCCTTCAGGCGACCCCTGATCCCATCCCCTTTCCTCCAAGCAACGCCGCAGAGCACTACTATCCCGGCTGACTGGCAACCCAACCCTGGGTGGGCCCCGAAGGGAAGCTGTCGCGACTTGAGGTCAAGCGACAGGGGAAAACCTAAAAGCTGGGGGCGTCCGACTAGATCTCACCGAAGCGATGGTGAGCAATGCTCAAACCTAAGGCTAGGGACAAGTAAGTTAGCATAGGAAAGTAAGTATGTACAGGGGCTTACTGACCTAGGGACAAGAGGTCGAAACTGAGGTCCCTAGGCCAGCAGAGGCAGGCTTATATACAGGGGAAGTTTAGGGGAGGCTGTGTGCACTGGTCCGTGCACAGCTGGTCCGTGCGCAGCATGCTGACGCGGCCCCGGGGGCCGGTGAGTCAGAGAGGCTGTGTCAGCAGAGCCTGAGCTGTGCCGCGCACTGCCGCCCATCTAATCTAATCATACAGTAGATAGCGACGCGTCCATATCAGGCATGTAGTACAGAGGTCGCGGGTTCGAGTCCGCGAAAAGGAAAAAATTAAAAAACGGCTAGACGCCGTACCAACTCGTGACATTACCCCCCCTCAAC